GTATTTGGGATGTCTTGCTTGATAGGTACACAAAACAATATAAGGGGAATAATACAATCAAAAGATTAAAACGGTAATATACATTTGTTTTACATACATTACATCGTCACAAATACACAAGTTAACGACTGAAATGTGTCAGCAAGTAATTAGTTCATTGATTATTATTTACATTTGCAAATATTTTTCTTAGATGAACCTATTGAAGAGAAAATATGTTCAATTCTGTATGAACTTATTAGGGGTCAGAGGTCATGGCGTGATCGAATCACACAGCGAGATGATATCTTGTCTACATATTTCTGTCTTCGGGCGTCACAGGATTTGATCACATTACCAACCAAGTTCATTTCCCAGAGAACTTTTTAACATTGTTGTTTATTTCTTAAATATTGACATGGATTGAATATTATTTATTTTTCTGAAAAAAATACTCTTAATCACTCCATTAAATGTAATCTAGTTTAAAGCAATCTGTATGTAAGACTTCTAAAGCAGTGGGCTTTTTCAACAAAACATACCATAACATACAATCAACAAGCATTCTGAGAGTATTGCATTAGCAATACTAGTCCCCTACCGGCAAGTGTAATCTGGTTCCCGCTAAGAATTGAAAATGCCATAATTCCGTCAAAAATGAATGAAGCGGGACGAAATGCAAACTTGATCTATAACTAATCAAGGTAAAGCCACATACCAAAAATCAGCTCAATATCTACAAGCGTTTAGAAGAAAATTGCGGAAAACCCTTAAAAATTGAAAAGGCCGTAATTCCGTCAAAAATCAATGAAGCGGAACGAAATGCAAACTTGATCTGTAACTCCTCAAGATACACTCAATACCAAAAATCAGCTCAATATCTGCAAGCGTTTAAGAAAAAAGTGCGGAAAACCAAGTGGGACAGACTGACAGACAGACAGAGGGACAGACAGACAGACAGACGGACAGACAGACAGACAGACGGAAGGACAGACTCAGAGGAAACCTATAGTCCCCTCCGGTTTCACCGGTAGGGGACTAATAATCCAATACCTTTATACGATTATCCATACAGACAGAAATGCCTTTTGTTCTTTGTTAATGAGGGATAAACGGTTACAACCATTGCAGAAAAAAATACATAATCCGCATACGCTCAATATCAAATGGTTAATTTATAAAAATTATAATACTGATTATCTATAATCGGAGACATACTTATGAATTAAAAACACAATGAAAATATTGATGTGTTTACCTTTAAATATTCAGATTATTACATATACGTAAAGCTCCCTTATAGATATGTTTTTTTAAAATGAAGCAACCATTCAGGATCAAAAACCTTTTGTCATACTTCTTTTACGTAATTGCACAGTTGTGGGTTCAAACCCCCGCCGTGACTGATTTAAGTCGATAAAAAAGGTCAGCAACTGTTCCTTCGCCAAGTGCTTTGCACTTAGAAGTGAAAGTCGCAGGTCATTTGGATGAGACCTTAAAAATCGAGGCCCGTGTCGATGCAGACGTATACGTAGGCACAATAAAGATCCCTTACTGCTCAATGGCCCTGCGTGCCGAGTAAAGTTCTTATTTTGAATTTAAGCATGTTCACTCGTATTTGGTGTCGTCTCTATATGAGTGAAAAATTCCTTAATGGGACGCAAAACAGCGATCAATCCTTCTTTCAAACTATGTATTGATTATAAGTAAAGAAAATGCAAAGGTCACAGGAAGATTATAAAATGTGTAAATTTCTCATTTTATTTAAATTTTCATCATTTTTGGTAAATATTGTTCAAGAAAACAGAGAGCGCAAGCATGTCTTTCTCAAATATTCACATGGCATTTCATTTGAACAAACTTGAATAAAATTGGAAGAGGGACGCTTTGTCCTAAGTTTGGTCGAAATTAGTTTACTCGCACTAAGAAAAAAACAAGAGGCCCAAGGGCCTTAACGGTCACCTGAGTATAACAATTTAGAGGATCTATAAACTGAAAAATGAAGCTTTTTTTTCCAAAAGCAAGAAAATTTGTACAATTAAGATCAACAAAATAATTGGTCTAGTATCTATCTATCTGTCCCCCATTTATCACTATTACCATGCAGACTTTTAACAAAATATCTATTTTTAACCCCATATTATTACCTCTCACATTGGCCTCACTTGGCCTTTTAAGAACATTTAAAAAGATAAGTAATTTTTGTTTCATTTTTATTCATCTATTATTTCCAAGTCTACCTGATCATTAAAACTAGGAAAGTACTTTTTGTACTATACAATCAATGTTCTTGCATAATTCTCTTATTCTATTAACCTTTCAAATACCTTATCTACAGTGATTAATTATCAAAGGTGAATGGCAAAGGGGAATAACTTCACTCAGTAGAATACAAATCAATAGAGCCCTGGCCAGGACCAGAACACTTGACCAAATGGTCCAGATGTTTAAAATTCTGGTAAGAATACCCTTGCTTATTAAAACTTTTACTCTGTTTGCCTCCAATATGCCCAGGAGCAGAGAAGATTTTCAAAGAAATAATGCATTTTTACTATTTAACACAGCTCTACGCTAACACCAGAACCCATGACCCAGGGTCATGAAATTTACAAATTTAGAAGAGGTACCCTCATCATCATAACTATGCAACTAGTTGAAGATTTTCAAAGAATTCACACATTTTCACTATATTATCAATAGAGCCCCCCCCCCCCCCCTCGAGAAACAACAGAACCCCTGGGACCACAAGTTTTAAAAAATTTGTAAAAGCATCCTTGCTCATCATAACTATACACTTGTTTCTTTGTTTTATAACCAGGAGTAGAAAAAAAATATTTTGAAAGAAATTATGAATTTTCAATATATAATCAGTAGAGCCCCCCCCCCTTCACAAGAACCCCTGACCCTTGGGCCATGAATTTCACAATTTTGGAAGAGGCATTCTTGCTTATCATAACCATGCACTTCCTTTGTTTAAATAATACTCAGGAGCAGAGAAGATTTTCAAAGAATTGATGCATTTTCACTATATAATCAATAGAGCTCTGCCCTAACAGCAGAACCCCTGATCCAGGGGCCATGAAATTCATAATTTCTGAAGAGGCACTCTTGCTCACCATAAATATGTTTTTATTTAATTTCTTTAACACCCATGAGCAGAGAAGAAGATTTTCAAAGAAATAATGCATTTTCACTATATAATCAATAGAGCCCCCCTTCACCAGAACCCCTGACCCAGGGGCCATGAAATTCATAATTTTGGAAGAGGCACTCTTGCTCATCATAACTATGTACTTAGTTAGTTTATTTAATACCCAGGAGCAGAGAAGAAGATTTTCAAAGATTTAATGCATTTTCACTATATAATCAATAGAGCCCCACCCTAACACCAGAACCCCTGACCCTGGGGCCATGAAATTCACAATTTTGGAAGAGGCAATTTTGTTCATCATAACTATGTACTTAGTTAGTTTATTTCATACCCATGAGCAGAGAAGAAGATTTTCAAAGATTTAATGCATTTTCACTATATAATCAATAGAGCCCCCCCTTCCCTTCACCAGAACCCCTGACCCAGGGGCGATGAAATTCACAATTTTGGAAGAGACATTCTTGTTTATCATAACTATGTACTTGGTTAGTTTATTTTATACCCAGGAGCAGAGAAGAAGATTTTCAAAGAAATAATGCACTTTTACTATATGATCTACATAGCCCCACCCTAGCCCCAGAACCCCTAACCCTTGGGCCATGAATTTCACAATTTTGGTAGAGGGCTCAATGCTTATTACAATCATGCCAACAGTCTGACTGCTTGATGTCCGGGAGTAAAGAAGAAGATTTTTAGATTGCATTAATTTTAGTGGTTTTTGCCCCACCCCTCAGGCCCCAGGGAGCAGGGACCCTGAAATTCAGAAATTTTGTCCCCCTTCACCCATACTATATGCCATATGCCAAATTTGGTTGAAATTGGTTGAGCGGTTTCAGAGAAGAAGCTGAAAATGTTCAAATGTTAACGCACGACGCACGCCGACGGACGAAAAGGTGACCTAAAAAGAGAAAAATGTTGCAATTTAACTGACACCAGACGACAGGTACGGACAAAGCTCACTTGAGTCTTTTGTTAAAAGTGACTAACATCTGAGAGCCATATCAATCAGCTCAAAAAGTTTTCTTTAAATTTAAGAGCTGAATACAAAATATCCTCCTTGTGGGGGACATCAATCACAATTAAAGTCAACATTTCCTAAATTTTATAATGGTATCAATGACCTTGTTTACAAGTAAATTTGAGATTCTCTATTTTACGTAGAGAGAAACATACTTGTGTTTTAAGATGTACCATATATCATTCAAAGTAATATAAACTAATATACGTGAAAAGGTCTAATTCTACCACAAATCACACCAGCCATGGAAGTTTTGATATTATAAATCACTACTTCAAAATCATGAAGACTGTTGTTCAGGGGGTAAAGATGGCTTTCAATCACATGATTGTATTTCCATATCAGGAACTTAACCATGTGCTGTGGTAATACGCTTCAATTCAGGCGACATGAATTCAAATTTTGGTAGAAGAAATTGCTTTTGTTAGTAATTTGAATCGTTTTCTTATTTGTGTCTAAGAAAAAAACTTTAAAAGATGAAATTAATTTTAATGTTTTTAGTCCAACTCTTCAGAAACCCAATCCAAAGCGGTTGTTAACTTTACCAATTATATGCAACATATATTTAAATTTGGGTAAAATTTGTCAGCTGTTTCAGAAATGAAATTGAAATGTAGAAATTTGAAGGGCTAACGGTAAGGGTCGACATTTAAAAATGGATAACAGTATGTTATTAACCATTGGTGGCCTAAATTGAATTTCTGATATTTTTAATTAATAAAGGGTAATAATTATGTTATTGGTGTTTTAAGAAAAACAACTGTTACATTGTATCATTAATCAGTTAACTTAGTAATACAAAATTCCACAGCATTAGGACAAATAATTAAAAAATAAACTTTTGAATTTGTTTTATTTGTTCGTAACATCAAGATACATATTAGTTCCATCAAAAATTTGGCCAATTCGGTCCATTCGATTTACGCATACCGGATCCCGCGGTAATGCAATATCATTATACTGTGTAGAACCGTGACTTGAGTCCGAATGCGCCTGCTCAGCAGAAGGCACGTGTATTTCCGGTGTTATTTCTATAACAGGGTCTAAATAATTATCGTTACCACTTTCTGCCATCTCCCTCACATCATCGTAATTAGAATCTATAACCGGGGTATATGTGTGGAGGGGGGCGTTTTCGTTTGGTGATATATAAGATTCTCCACTGCTGTCGGAATGAACGGTTCCTCCCGATCGTGTCTCTTCAGAAATCTGTATTTGTTGAATCTCATGATATCCGCGTCCAGGTAACTCTGGCACACGATTTAATATATTGTACTTATTCTTCTCCTTTGACTCATCTTTACGTCTTCTTGAGTCCAAATCAATTTCAGGTATTTCTTCGTATGTTTCTTGGGTATGATCTTGTTTCGTAGTTAGACGGCGTTTTTTTCTCTTACATTGCAGTATTTGTTTGTACCCAACTTGAATAATAAGAATGACCAAACATAATGTAATAGCACCTCCCACTGCAATTATTACAGTATTATTATTGTTGTCCTCACCTTTCAAGGATGGAGTGGTTAAACGAGTGGAAATTGAAACATGTTTTAAAGTGGACCAAAAAATTTGTGGAGAAGAACGTGTGCTCTTTACGGATTTCCTTGTAGACTTCTCTCTGTATGTAGAAAGGAAAGGTGTTGTTTGGTAAATTTGTGAAGTTAACTCAAGAGTTGAAATTTCTGGAAAAAAGAGAGACCCAGTCGCATTGAAAAATGCTATTTCTATAGTTGGAAAAAGAATGATAGAGATATAAGATGATCATACCTGGCTTCTCACAGCCATAGACAGGATGGCATTCGGATTTTGTGCATTTTTCACATATATTAACACACAAATTCCCGTACGTCCCGTTAGGGCATGCCGTGACACAATTGTTTCCAAAGAATCCCGGGGAACACGCTAAATGTAAGACATGAACATATTGATTAATTCAAACATAAAAATGCTTTCTTTGGTTAAAAGTATGGGGATTAATGTTGCAGCTGTTACCGAAAAAGTGTCCCGCCTAAGAGGTTTATTTGAATTTATTCTGCATTAGCTGTACCATTAATTGCCATACTATTCTAACAAAGAAAGAAATATCTTTTATTGTTTATATATCTGTGTGTATAAATAATCAAATAAAGTTATTAAGATTAAGTACGTTTAATATTGCATTATTGATATGTACATCAGTGTATGTTTTATTCACGGAATAGCCAAATACAGGTGGCTTACCGTGGTTTTCATAAATAAAGGAGATAATATTCAGTGAATGTAAAAATATAAATATTATTATATATCGCATGGATATTAAGATACCACTCATATGGCAAAAAAATGTTTTTAAAAAAATTAGTATAGGTTCTCAATGACATTTGTTATCTGCATTATAAAATTTGACGAACGAGTTAATGTAAATACGTTAAAAAGTACATAATTTTTTATGAGAAATTAATGCATTAAATTTTGAAAAATACTTACGCTCGCATTTATTGCCCACAACATGAAAGTTGTAACAACACTGGTCTGAAACAGGTCTGTAATGAGTTCACCATACAATATTATCAAGTTGTATTGAAGAAATAACTTTTCATAAGAATATGTGGATAAATCTTACCTTTCCGTGCATTCACCATTTTTTGTTTGAGAGAATACCAGTATAAAGAGACCTATAAATGCGAGGACAAGCAGCTTATCACTTTGTGAACGAAACATTTTAATCAACAAGACGGAAATATTGTTCAAGTTCTTCCTGAAGATTTTAATTTCCATTATTCATCATCATGAAGTTTAGTCTCAAAATAATAAATAGTTTAATAAGATATAGGCTAGTTTTGTTTATTTTGACAGCTGTTGATGAGTAAATGCATATCTGACTAAGTAAATGGTTATTTAATTTTTTTTAAAACCTTCTGTAATATTAATGGTAAATACTGAAAGAATCGAAAAGCTTAGGATATCGATGAACGTACGTTTCCTTCCTTATTATTCATGTTATTTTAGAGATGGCAACGATGTAATGCAGAATGTGTATAGTGTCTTTCTTTTCTTTAGATTTATGTTTAAACTGGTCTATTGATATTCACAGAAATCAACACATATCAGAAAAAACTCTCTCAAACTTGCTATTTTAATTTGACAAAAGAGGATATTCTTGAGTTCTCTCTTAGAAGTCCTTACATTAAGTAAGATATGTAGAAATGAAAAAAAATCATATTAAGGAAAAAGTATGCAAACATTATGCTATACAAACACTGAGATGGTTTTTTTAAAAATAAAAGTCTATACCTAAGTCGTGTCAGAGACATTCATTCAAAAAATCTCCACATGTTATTTTAAAGAATAGATTATCGTTTCTTATCCCTGAATGCAAATAAACTTTGATCTAACATTTAAATTCGAATTACCACCTTGCAAGAAAGATTATTTGTAAATGTAATCAATTTTTTTCCCGAATGAAAAAGGTGAAGATAAGTAATCGATCTCAAATTTTTCATAAACAATACAAATCTGTGAACAAAATCACAGACCCCCGAAAAAAGATGGGATCAGGTGCCTAGAAGGAGTAAGCATTCTCTGTTGATCGATCACACCTGGCGTGAGCGCAATGCACTGATCACGTAGACGGAACATACTGCAATCAAATCCAGTATTGAAATAGGGCTAACAATTGGTATAAAACACGTCAACCAAAATACGACCCAGTGATAGGATATGTTTGCTTTCTTCAACAATGATTTATTTGTTCATTCCCTTGTACAGTATATATACGGAATTTTGTAAATTTTGTTTTTTGTTTTCTTTATTCTCAAAAGAATTATAATTCAGGAAAAATTTCGTATTTTGTGCAGTAAGTCTTTTACCTTTAAAGAAGCATAATAAATAATGCTTTCTTTTTTATATCAACTCATTAAATACTATAGTATTTCCAAAAAAAAAAAGAAAAGAAAAGAAAAGGAACATTCTCTTGAAAATAAGAATAAGAAACGATTTTTCATCCAAGGTCTCTTTGAAGCATTGGAAAGACTAAAACTAAACAGAAAAAAACACTATTATAATGTGACGATTTTCGCTTTTTATTTTATCAGTTGAATTGCATGTCTATCAGGAAACCATGTTAAAAGACAAAAATGTCTGAGAAACATATCACAGTTTATCTCGGAAATAATCAAAATCTAATTTTATCTTATCTTTATCTTTTGGAAAGATGTCCTACCCAAATACCAAATACAATGTTGTTTATTTTCTGTATCTTTTTTTAATTTTTAATGGCGATCTAAATATTAATCCACTGGCTAATAAAGACGTACAGCACAGTGGGGGAGATGACTCTTGCGATTTGAATTAAACCTTTAACTTGACGTTAATTTTTTAAGCGTCAAATTGACGATTGATACGATCCTGATGTATTCAAGGAAAATGGCATTAGAGGCATTGATTGTGGTTTCTTTATATTTACAAAATCCTATCATTGATCATTTGCGCATTTGCAATAAACCCCTCCCCTCCATAAAAGGAAGAAAAGACATATTACCCCTTAAATTTGTGCACATCAGTGAAGTCAACTTTAAAATCTCGGCAATATTTTTGTATTATTTATTGCTTACAATTTCCTGATATTCAGCTGGGCTGTTTCAAGCAGGATGTCTATAATGAATGTGCAACCCAAAACGACATCACTGACCCAAATATGATGACATATTGCCAACATTTTAAAAATATATGCACATTTGCAAGATATAAAATAGAAAAAAAGTTTAGAAGGAAACACATCTGTCTTATAAGAATGTATTGATTAATATAAACCATCTATCGCGGAAGAAAATAAAAATAAATAAATTAAATAAACAAATAATGATTATAATAAAAATATGGAGATAACAAACAATAATCAAGGTCAAAAGTCGATTGAAATAATACAAATCGGAAGCAGAGCAAACAAGGCCCAATAAAACACATCAGAGGTGGGATCAGGTGCCATGGAGGATAAGCATTCCCTGTCGATTGGTCACACCCGCCGAGTGCCATTGTCATGACCGGGCAAACGGAATAATCCGTAGACAATGCTGTGTTTAAATAATCGCCTAACAGTTAGTATGAAAAACGTCAGTCAGCATTCGACGTAATGATAATTATTGTATTTGCTGACAAGGTCATTGTAATGACCATACAGTGCAGAGAACTAATTTTGTTACATAAACCAGCATCAGCATAAGCATTAGTAGCATCAGGATTGAGCTAGCATCAGCATCAGCATTTAAAAAACAGCATTACCAGGATCAGCATCAGCAAGCAAAGGATAAAACCAGCATTGACCTACATAAAATCAGCATTATCCTACTAGCATCAGAAAATCAATGAGTTTTAATTCAGTAAAAAATTAAAAAGAAAGAAAGAATATTGGTTAAAGTATTCACATTATTGATACATAGTGAGATATTATGATCAAATAATTGTAAAAGGCACTTTTATTGCTTTAAACGGCAATGTTGAAATTCATTTTCTACTTCCGGTAGCATGATGCTACTTCCGGTAGCATTGACCTAATTATAAAACAGCATCAGGATAAGGATTACTAGCATTAAATCAGCAAGCAAAGGAAGCATTCAAATCAGCAAGCAAAGGAAGCATTCAAATCAGCATCGATGCTGTAACAAAATTAGTTTCCTGCACTGTAATACTTGCGAAATGATGACTTTAAACGAGACTGTTGATATCCTATTTTCATCAGCTTGTTTGTCAGTAGCTAGCGAGAAATTGTGGAGCGTGCTATTGCATATCAAATTAACTGGGAGATATGAACTCCATATGCATGTGATAAGGTATATTGCTACACAAGTAAGGGAAGTCGACGATAGAAAAGTTTATGTCATCACGTTAATCATAAAGTTTGGTTTTTAGGTTACCATGAACGTCTTTTTCTAGTAAAATATTCAAAATATGAAACAGATGTCTCAGACCCTATGGTATCTTTTATTTCAAGGTCACTGGGATATATCGAATCATCATATGAAGTGACTATTGTTAATTGATAAAATGTAATCGATATATTTAAATGTCGAGCTGCCTAATTCTTGACCTTTGGCCTTATGGTTTGTAATTGACACTTCTTTGGATCTGTCTACGGAAAAAAAAACCCTATCCAAATCGTTCCAGAAGCGCTGCTCTCATACTGACTTCTGTACAAGAAAGACTTAATCAAAACAAAGTTTATCATACATTTCTCACCATTGATATTATATTTTTGATGCTTTGACATTGTTTATCAGTACAAATAACACATGTTCATCTTAAATGAGGATCAATCAATCAAATAGTTCAAATAGTTTAGTTTGAAAGACTCCTGAGAACGAAAATAACAAAGTATTTAAATGGGAAAAGGAACAAGGATACTCTACGAAAAAACAAACAAACAACCCTTTAAAAGACGTCTTCTGGACTTCAGCCCTTTAATCCCGGCAGCATCAAGTTACTTAAAATATTTAAATTATCGTTAAATGTAAAAGTATCGTAAATGTTACTTTTATTTAATCAAAATATCATGATACAGTGATATCTAAATAAGTGTTACACCTTACATTGACTTCATCTAAATGCGTGTCACTGCTTTGTTTTACAGTTCCTTTTAGATTTTCATCTTGCAAAATTATAAACAGTGTCATCGTACGGAGAGGAGTTTTCAAATGCCTGTTTGGGAGGTATCCTCGCTCTTCTCCTTATCAGCTTGCACTTATTTATTTTACTAACTGTTGTTGTTCTAGTAAGTTCAGCGTAACTATCTGTTGTGATTTAATCTTTGATTCTAAATATGTGTTATTATCCAAGCCTTTGGAATTCCCTGTAATGGAGTCAGAGATCGGGGATTTTACTGACACACTTTTCATGTCTTCAATCTCTTAGCCTCTTTCTTTACTCCTCACTAAAATATTAACAGTAGTGAAGGAGAAACTTCAGGAGTACTGTGCAACAATATATTCGAGAAGTGGTGTAAATCAGATATGGATACTTAAAAATCCCAAGGAACCTTTGGAAAATTTGAAATCACAACATTTTACCAAAATCAACATTAAAACTTACGACTTTTTAACTTTATATACAATCATTCCCCACGATAAATTAAAGTCCAGGCTTTTTGATATCACTGACAACTGCTTTTTCAATAAAAATGGAACTTGTAAATTTACTTACCTTGTCAATGGGCATTTGCAAAATTATTTTGTTAAAAAAACATTCTGATTGTACACAAAAGTACTCTGAAGTTGATATTATAAAGATGCTTGAGTTTCTGATTGACAATATCAATGTGGTTTTTGGAGACCAGGTCTTCTAACAATCTATTGGAATTCCCATGGGTACTAATTGAGCCCCGTTATTAGCAGACCTATTCTTGTATTCATATGAAGCAGAATTTGTTCAAAATACGTGAAAAGAAGAAAACACATGCCGTGGCCTTCAACTCGACATTTAGATATATCGACGACGTATTATTAATTAACAATGGTTATTTCCATTCTTATGTCGATACGATATATCCCAGTGAGCTTGAGATAAAAGATACCACAGAATCTGACACATCTGTTTCATATTTAGATATTTTACTAAAAAAGACCTTAATGGTAATCTAACAACCAAGCTTTATGATAAACATGATGACTTTAACTTTTCAATCGTCAACTTCCCTTACTTATGCAGCAATATACCTTCATCACCTGTATACGGGGTTTAAATCT